GTCTTTTTTATTTTGATTTATAACTTAGAAATGCCTTTCTAATTAAACAGCTACAGATAAACAATTTGACAAGAAACAAAAACAAAATATGCCAAGGTGTGGCTTTTCTTTTTTGACTTAGAAAAGCAGAGATAATGGGGTGTATAAATAGGGCRTTTGAAAACAAGTTATCASAGTTGACTGACTAGGACTGACCATGACTGAGAGTTTTCCTGCCAAGGACAAGCAATTAGCTGCTAGTAGCTTGTCTAACAATAATGAAGAAAACGTTGATGCACAAATGCATATAGGCCTCAAAAATATTTGGGTCAAAGAGGCTGTTGTTCAGAGTACAAGTAGGAACTCTCCGWCTYCAGAGGAATGCCAGGGAGGTGAAAAGAAAGACCCAGAGCAAACTGCTTTTWYAGTATCGAGAATGGGGCCAAAACAGCRAAGAAAAGCTGGTCATCGATGCATTWTAGCRGCCGGCAACTGTCTTGATCGCAACTGTAAACTTAGGATGAGGACCCGTGTTATGATGAAGCGATTTGGAGTGCAACCTATGCATCAAAAATGAACTTGTCAAGAGAATMATGAACAGTTGACTTTCATTTGTGTACTAACTCCATAACGTAATAAGGTGAATTCCTTTCAATCATGCAGTAATTACTTTGAAATGATAGTTTTTAGAAGATTATTTGGACTTACAAACCTACGTATATAAAGTGATGAAAACATGTATACATACATGCATTATACTCAGTGGTCACGTCTCTTGTGTTTTCGATTGTTTCATAAATGTTTTTGTAGTGATTTTTTATTGATTATGGTCGGATTTGCGTCTTTGCCAGATCTGATTCTGGTTAAAACAAAACTTATGTTCAAATAATACTAAGTTTTATAAAATATATATATTTTCTTTCATTGAAATTCTTAAAATCATTTTAATTATARTCACTAAGCCTCGTATGTCAAGGCTTTTAGTTTATGAGTTCGTGCAGAAGGCAAARCCYTTTCAGGGATACTAGTTCCCCAATTAAATGTCTTAGTAGGTTTTTGTATTGAAGTAATCGTAGACTGAACTCTTGGTCCTTTGTAAGACAGGTTTTGTCGAGTATTGAATGCCTTTTTCACCACATCGGTTGCCTGTGTGAAAGAGAACATCCATGTTAACGTTATTCAATGCGTGTTTGRTCTGAGGTATCGAATATTGGGAGGTGAGGGGGGTTAGCCTGCGTAGCGGCCCTAAAGGGATTGGGGAGGGCCTCGGCCGGCCGGGGGGTTTGTAAACATATCTCCCAATGTAGAATTGACGTAAACTGGGAAAGGGAAGAAAGAAATTGTTGAAAAAAAGTTGATTTTACCTTCTTTTTACTTTTAATGATATTGATGTGAAAATCTTGTTCTTCCATACACGACCGTATCTCTGGAAACATCCCATCACGTATTGGGGGAAGGATTGATTTTCCYGAAAACTTGGAAGTTGACACGGACATTTTTCTAAGATGAGAAGAAAGCTCATTCCCAAAAGTGTCGCGTATATGAGCCTCCACCGCACGTCCGGCGGCTTTTCCTAAGCTACCTTTGGTAATCTCGGAAACTGTTCGTCCAGGAAAAAGTCTCGAAAAAATTGAAAGAACTTCCTTGCTATCAGGGTTTAAATAGAGGCATTTAATAACATCTTCTCKTGCACCGTCGCTATCTTCGATCATATATCTTGCTCTTGCTCTTGATAAATAATAAGCAGATGTTTTTGGATTRTAATTGATTGCCGTAGTAAGGCAGTCGATGGCTTCTAGATAGTGTCGGTCATAATACTCTAGTATTCCAAATTCATTGTAGATGACAGACATGCGTGAAAGTATATTATGGTCKGTAGGGTCCAGCTCTAGGGCTTGTTGGTAGTCTGCTAGAGCAAAATGAAGCTCRCTTGCTCGAAAGAAGCAATCTTAAAAAGAGATATCATTAGAGATAATTAGAAACAGTGATTGAATTCTAATTAATAATGAACATAGCCAAAACTGCGGAGAGTAAGTAGTTTTGCAAAAATACAAGGAAACTTCTTTTGAAAGAACCACCAAAGTACGACACTAAAACGATATATTGTACTAGAAAAAAATTTCCAACTTTTTTAAAAGTTTGCTAGTTTTATTGACTTGAAGTTGTTTCAAGCCACACCGCAGTCTTTCTCAGCTGATCATACAAGTTGCACATATAGTGCATGTTCTTATATATCACTTCTAAGCTTTTCCCACATGACTGGGTGCCATATTTCTCAATGATATATACAAGGTTTAATGAAATATGGTGTGCCCTACCTCCACGGTTGATGTACAGGCCTTTTTCGTTTTTCTCGCCTTTGATTGACTTATTGAGAAGGACAATAGCTTCGTCATAAAACCCTTTACTACAATGAAGGAATATTCAGTTTAGTTTGGTGATTTAGTCCCTGTCGGCTGTCTTGTAAGAGAGGTTTCTCAAAGCTCTTTTCAAACCTGTTTGTGGACAGGTTCAAACCTGTTTGTAGACAGGTAACAACAAGATTTTTTCAGCTGATTCTTACCTGAAACATTCCACTGCAAAGTCGTTGTAACATAGTAACAATTGTTGTTGAGCCTCTTTGTAGGTAGCGTTGGTTTCGTCATGATCTGCTTTGTCCATGGCTAGCAGAAAATCATCTATTGCGGCATTGAAATCTGTTGTTCTTCTGTGCAATGCACCCCTGAGTAAAACCAAAAGAATTAAAATTATCTTTTTACTCCAACGTTTACGACATTAGTTTATAATTTGTCATATTGTATTTATGGGGTGGTCAAAATGTTGTCATACCTAAAAACGTGGTATTCAGGAATTGCTGGATTTGTTTCCAAGGCAACAGATATTTTAGTCAGAGCCTCCTTAACCTTTCCTACCAGAAGAAGCTGTACTGCCTGGAACAATAGGATTGTAGTTTTTTTAGTCACTAACTTTGATTTATAATAAAATATTCATATTTTGCTGTCAGACCTGGTGTTTGCTGTCACTTGCTCTCTTCTGTAAAGATTTCATCAATGACTGTGCTTCTTCGTTGTCGGGAGCAAGAGCCAACGCATCTTTGACATCATAGTAACAAAGAGTTGACTACAGAACAATAGTCATAATGTTAGTCATAATGCACTCTGACTTGGTACACCAATACTATGATAAAGCCTTTATTAACAACTTATGCAATCGAGTGGTCTAACTGTTTTAGTATCTAGTATCTACAAAGAACACAAACACCTTTTCTCAGCATTTTTCTTTTTCAACTTTTTTTTAGGTTTTCTCAATGCAGCCATAGTCTATCATGAATAGACCATAGTTCAACATCCAATCAGATTGATTGATTGTCCATAGTTGAAACTATTTGAAGAGTTAAAAACTAAACTCGATTTCGTAGAATTATTTAAATTCAATTACATTTCTGAAGAGCTCATGTAATCTTGCTCTCATGATGAAAAGATCTGGGTTGGTGTTTTCTTCTTCTAGTCTCTTGTTTACCAAAGCAAGGCACTCTCCATGTCTTTGCAATGCAGATAAACAAGCCACACTAAAACAATAAAGAAAAATATCACAATTCTAACATTTCAAATAGCCGATTTGCATTATGGTGTCATTTACTACAACTACCAGAATGCTTTGGCAACTTTATTTTGTAATGCAATTAGTGCCAATTGTTTTATTAATCTACAAGGGGATTAAAAATCTGAATAACAATGCACAAGGCTCTCTGGTAGTTGTAGTAAAGTTACGTCATAATGCAAATGGCCTGTTCTGTGATGGCTGGTTAGTAGTTAGTGGTAGTAGGAGTTACCCACCCCTCCGACAATAACAAACCTTCTCGTGTGATATCCAATAATTTCAGGTTTCATCTCTGCGGCTCTGGAAAATGACTCCAGTGCCTCCGTATAAAGCTTTTCATCAAACAAACACTGTCCTTGGAAAAAATAGATGAATGCAAGTCTGGAGTAATAATCATCGTTATCAGGATCTAAAATACACGCTTTCTTGTAGTTCAAAATGGCAGACTGAAAGTCACAGATTTGAAGAAATGATTCTCCTCTTGCAGTGTAGAATTTTATGYTGTCAGGTTTCAGGGAAATTGCTTTGTTGAAACATGATATTGCTCTATAGTCTTGATTGGTATTGGAAAATCTTAGTCCATCACAATAACTGGAAAAGAAAATGATATCATATTGTAATAAATCCACTACACACAACCATTTGGCAAAGATGTTGTAAGTTATTGGCATGAATTGTGCAAGCTTAAGAAAGTTTGTTTACATGGACTTTATTAGAGCAATACGCTTTTGATCAGAGGAAATTAGTACTTGACGATATTCTTCAATTTCTAGCTTGTCTGTGTAACAATGAACTCAGCATAAACTGTACTAAATATGCATTGAGCTATAAATGAATTTACGAATTGACTCTGCTTCTTGAATAAAACGAAAAGTTAACTAGGTAACTCACTGTTCTTCAGCTTTTAAGTCAACAACACTTTGAACCGTAAAAGCAATCGATTTTCGCCTGTAGCTTGAAAAAGGTGTACTTGTTGTTGGTACAAGCTCTGCCAGTCGAAAAGAATTCACAATAGTCTTTCGTCTCTGCTTCTTCTCGATAGCAAGTTGAATACTAAGTCCATCCTTGTCGTCCTCGTCCTGCTCTTCCGTGCTCTCTGTCGGGGTTATAGACTTTTCTTCAGCAAAATGCACCCTTTCTTTGCCATTGATATCGACATAACGATCTGTACCAGCGCTAGAAGGCTTGTTATTCAACATCAGACCGTTCTCTTTGCCTTTTAACGCATTATTGTCGTTATAAAGTCTTGTTTATGGTTCAGAAGTCGATTTTACGAATTCTAGTGAACAGTGAAGGTGTTTGAGTTGTTGCTAAGAGACCTGCGTAAACTCTGACCAATGAATATCGCAGTCTCATCCTTTAAAAACCACAGGAACCCCGATGCAAGTTTCTGATCRCTACTCTCTGAAGAAATTAAAACAATTAAAACGATTTCGAGTTAATTGAATTGATAATTGTAAGACACAGTTGTGTAAAGAAGATAAGTTTAACACCGTAAAAAAGTATGGGAAATAACTTACTGACGTTTCGGATGTTAATCCTCTTTACTCCGACGAAGGATTAAAATCCGAAACGTCAGTAAGTTATTTCCCATACTTTTTTACGGTGTTAAACTTATCTTCTTTACACAACTGTTTCGTTAGAAACACCGACGCAGCTCACACTAGTTTACCGCTAGTTCCCACCATGATAATTGTAAGGCTCGTTTCGTTAGAACGAGTAGCCAACAAAACGGACTGAAAAAGTTTTTGATTAGTTTTCTTTCGAAGACAGAGAAAGTGGTATCAAAATTTAAAATCGCGCAGTATGAAAAATATTGATAGGCCATTTTCGAAATTTGCATACAAATAACATATCGATTACAACGGATATCGGTCCCGCTGTGCAGCGGATCTTTTCATTCAGTCTCTCCCTATTGAGGTCTGTTTATTCTTCTTGTTTTTCTTTTCTGAAATGTTTGTGGAAATATTCTATTTCGCTTCCTCTCCGTATTAATCAATAACGTATAACATTAAAAATCTAGCGACATTGTCTCTCGTTTTTTGTTAGTATATTTGCTCTCTTTTTATCATTATATAACAATATGACATGAACGGCCTTGCATCGGCCTAGAATACATTGTTTGTATAATATTACATATAATTCACATCAAGTATCTTGCCTGTAATTAAAATGACACTTTACTCGAAAACATAGATACGCATAGAGTCAATGGCATATATTATCATCCTATTGAAGATACTTTTAGTAAGCTATCTAATAAAATGTCAATGATATCGATAGAAAAACTAAAAAAAAAAACAACATTTCAATGGCAGTGTCAAACCGAATGTTTTTTGCGGAGAGATACTTATCGTTTTCGTTTTGGCAAAAGTTGATGCGGTCATTGTCACGACGAATAAGAGCTATTAATCTTAAAAATTACTTCAAACAGGTACTTGAAAAAGCAATCAAATTCTGCCATCTACAGGCAACACGTTTTAAGGAATTGAAATTATCCTCTGGGCGGTTGACGGGCTGGCTGCCGGTTTGGCAAAAAGGCGTCTAAGACTTTGTAATAATTTGTATATAGCGCAACGCATTTCTTGGATTCTCCAGCAGTAAATAATAGGGTTAAGTAAACTATTTAACATTAATAAACTATCCGCTAAAGTATTCAAAACAAACTTTTTCAATGTAACAGTTTCAGGAACGAAAGTATTAAAGATAATCACACCGAGAGTTGGTGCGTAGCACAGCAAAAATATCCCCATTATGTAATACATAGTATTAACTGTTTTCTTGAATCTTGGTATATTGATGCCGGTCTGCTGTGTTGTTTGTCTTTGGGAGTGGATCCGTTTCGAGTGCCTGCGAACTACTTTTGAAATCTTGCCCATTAAACAGAGATTCAAAATAATAAGAAACAGCGCCACTGTGTTGTCGATCATTCGAACTGCAAGGGTTTTTGTCCAATATATCGAACCTATACCCCACGTAAAGCTTATGCCGAAAATAATCATACAAACCACATATGTCTTCCTTGTAGTGACAAGTTCCTTGTACCGTAAGTGTAGACGAACGGCAAGAAAACGATCGGCCGTTATAGCCGTTATCGTAAAAAACGATGTCGATACCAACGGCGTGAAGATTTGCAAATAAATCCTTGAAGTAGTTTCTGAGAGTTTGACATTATTGTTAAGCATTGCAGTTAAATGAATACAATGCACAGGCTGCATAAACGAGCCTACTATAAAATCCGCTATTGACAGACAAAGAATCAGGATATTGGCTGACGTAGACTGTAATGTTCGATTCTTAGCAAAAGTCAGAATGACCAAGAAGTTTAACACTGAAGTGCAGACGGCGCTTATTGCATTGACACCAATCATGGCCGAAGTATAATCCCTTAAATGAAGATTGGTTTTCAATGTATATTCGAATTCTGATATTTCCATTGAAGTTATACGAGATGTGTTCGCGGACATTTTGAGCATGACCATGCAGTAAGATTCTGAGGTTTTTTGTCTTTAAGTAGACATTTTGATAATGATTGAAAAGAGCAGCTGAATTTTACTCGCAGCTGTCTAATCTATGCGAAAATTGAAACGGCAAATTGAACTCGCCACTTAAAAAGGTGTCCGTATGAGATTGCTCAGCTAAAGTCTGGAAAAACTAGTTTTCTTAATTATAAACACCACCTTCGTTCAGTTACTGGCGTAAAATGTACAAACAAACTGAATATGAGTTCCCATATCGTAGATTAATAGTATTTCCTGTGTCTTATTTCAATAACCATAAATCGCATCATGATTGGTTGAAATCGAAATTGGAAGGAGATAAAAAGTGGTATTTGTCCGAATGACAGGAATCCCGATTACTTGCTATTTTCCCGCTGTTTGTAGTCACTACAATGCTAATCAAGCATAACAAGTAGCAGTAGTAATTAATATTTTACTTATATACATCTAGTAATACAAGGTTTGGTGCTTCTAGAACTATTTGGTTGAGTGCAAGCGGGCTTAGCTTGTATGAATCTATTTGTAAATTTATTTAAGGCGACTCGAGGCATTCCCCCTTGCAATTGGATGAACTCTGAGCATACATGACATGTATATAATATATTAAGCGCTCACTTTAGTGGAAGACATCAGTACAGTTCATTAGAATAGAATTTTGGCGCTATAACTTTTTATGCCTTCTTGTCGGGACGATACTTATGTATCATATCTATTTGTTTATCTATATAAAAGCAATATTCATACATGTAAGTACACTAGAGTTCAACCGTCTTGCTTTAAATAGAGTCCTGTAAATGATTACATTAGACAGCAAAAAGCAACTAGAAATTAAAGACTGATTGCAAAATTATTAATATATGAGAATCTAGCTACATAAATACAGCTTTTGCAGCTTTACTTAAAGATAAATATAGATGTATACACAAAGTCAGCATTGTAGGTAGGTTGAACTCCATGATCTACGCGTGCGGTGTGCATTCATGTCGCGAGGAATCTTTATAAAGATAAATTTAACACCGTAAAAAGTAGGAGAAACAACTCACTGACGTTTCATCCTAGTTTCATCTCTTCCGACGAAGGATTAACGTCCGAAACGTCAGTAAGTTGTTTCATATACTTTTTTACGGTGTTACAGCTGTAAATTTATCTTTTTACAACGGTTTGGCAAGTTTAGTATGTTCAAGTTGCTATAAATCATGTGCTTGTGCATATTCAATTATTTGCTTCAAATCTCTTTACATTCGGCTCATTTGAATAGTTTTGTCTTTTTCTTTTCCACAGACCTTCTCTCGCGCGACATGATTAC